GATTTGGCCACGTCTAGTTCTTCTGGTGCGTTGCCAACTTGCGGCAGTCACACACACCCGCTCCGGCGGGAATGTTGTGCGACCCCTCTCGGGAGCCCTGGGGGGGAGCCCTTGGGAGCCCAACGGGGCGGGTGTGACTTCGTGCTGGCCCCGTGGAGCAACGAGACTGTGTGACCCCGTGCCGGCTATGACCGCCGCTCCAGTACAGAGCACAAAGTGAACGGTGCAATCTCCCAAACGCCGGCTGTGACTACCTACCAGACCACCCCAACCCAACCCGAAGACCCGAATTTCGGGTTGGGGGGGGTAAGGGTTCCACACGAGTTTTTTCGATGTTTCCCGACACCCCCCCCACTGGAAATCGAGGGTAAATCTGAGCCTTCGGGTTGGGTTGGGGTGGTTTGGTGGGTGGTGAGGCTGGGGCTCAGATTCCGAAGGACGTCTACAGCCAGGCGAACCCCCGCGGGGGTGTCCGACGCCCCAGCGTCGAGTGGACCCATCGACTGCACGCAAGAGTGACCCTGGGTAAGAGTGACCTCTGGTGCGCGGCTTTTTGGGGGCCGCGGGGGGACTACACACGAGCACGCAAAACGCTACTACCGCATCGCGTTCGGCGATCGGGGGACCCCGTTGGGCCCGCACCAAAGGTCACTCCGGCGAAAGGTCACTCTTACGTGCAGCCGAACCCGGAGGGTAGGGCTCGCAAGTGTTCGCACAGGGGGGCTGGCAAATCAGCTGCACGGAGCTGGCTCTCGCGGCGCCTCCCAGGGCCGGAAGCGGCCGTGCATCGAGGAGAGCGCCCGGCGAGGGGGCCGAGACCAGCTGCAGACCTGTCTCTCCCATCCTCCCCCCCGCTCGCCCGGCATGAGGCAAGTGGGTCCTGACAGAAACAGGTCCTGGCCCGTGGCCCTTCCTCCAAGGCGTCGTCTATTCGTCCCGAGTCGTTCCTGGGCCATCCCGGGGGGCCCGTGGAGGGAAAGAGAGAGAGAGAGAGAGAGAGAGCGCGAGAGCGCGAGAGCGAGAGAGCGAGACGAGAAGGCGGGCGGGCGGGGCGAGTGGTCCCGGGCCGCGCGGCGCTGGGGAAAGCGCCTACCCAAGTCCCCCGCTTCTCCTACCGTGCCCCCCGGCCCGCCCCCGCCGAGTCAACCGCTCCTCCGCACCCCTGCGGGTCGTGGCCGCGATTCCCAAGTGAAGCCGAGAGGGCGAAACGGTCTGACACCAGGCGTGGTCTCCCCCTTCGTGGGCCCTGGAAACGACAAGGCAGTTTTTTTACCGGTTCCGTTTTGCCGTTTTTGTTGCCGGTTCCGACGCCGTTTTTTTGCCGGTTCCGTCGCCGTTCTTTTGCGGGTTCCCGCTCCGGTTCCACTCTTGGAGCCGTTTTTGTTGCCGTTTCTGGTCGCCATTTTTGTTGCCGTTTCCATTTTCAAGGGATACTTTTTCGGAAACGGTGAAAAAAGCGCCCTGTCGTTTCCGGGGCCCACTGATGTCTCCCCTCCTGGGTCGGGGCTCCACTCTCCTCAATCGAGCGACGCACAACAAAAAAGTCCTACGCGAGATGGCATTGCGACCTTTACGTCGCAGCTCACGCGGACCGCCCGCCCAGCACGCAACCTTGGAGACGAGGGTGCGTGCGCGCGACCTTGCGCGGGCAGCGTGCACGCTTACGTTGGCGAAGACGACCCCGCTTTTTTCCGCAGCTCACTCAGTGACAGACCTTATCATTCTCATTCTACTCCGCACCCTGCGGCCGACGCTCCTCGTGCTCCTGGCGCGTAGCTCGGAAGACGTGATCCCTTGGTCATTACCACTTTCCGTCTGTTGCACAAGCTGTGCTCTGGCGGCTCGTGCATGAATTGCCAGCGCTCTCTGGTCAACCCTGTCCAATGCCTACATCGAATTGTATACATATACAGAGAGAGAGAGCGAGAGAGAGAGAGACACACAACACAAGTCTCCAGATCGAGAGAACTGGCTACTCCTCTGACAACGCTCTGGCAGGGCCAAGCCGACACGCTCGTCGTGCTCCTCCGCCCCCGTTCCCGCCCCCCGCCTTCGCCCCACGCTCCGCGTCGGCCTGCTCCTGCTCCTCCCCCTCCTCTGGTCGGTCGCGTGCGCCGCCGCTCGCGCTAAGAGGCGCCGTCGATGGCGCCATCCTGAGGAAGAGCACCGATGTCCAGTTGTTCGAGGGGGGGACCCCAAGATCGTCTCCCAAGATCCTCCTGCTCCTCCTGCTACTCCTGCTCTTCCTCTTCCTCCTCCTCCCCCTCCTCCTTCTCCTCCTCCTCTTCCTCCTCCTCCTGCTCTTCCTCCTCCTCCTCCAGGGGTTCACGCTGCGGGGGTGGGGGGGGCAGGGCCATTCACTCAAGTAGCACACTGGACTGTGGCTGTGATGGTTGGCCGTCATCCAGCTCGCTGAGTTCGCCCAGGAGTGTAAGTATTTGCCTGGCCGTAATCAGAAGGATTGTCTGATTCGTATATCGAATCGGGTGCGTCCCGAGGCCTACACAGCAAGACCGAGCTCGCAAAGCGTGGCTCCGCGGGGCAGGCGGTCTTCGTGGTGTTGTGCTGCTTGAAGCTCTCTAATATCAGCCAACAGAATCGCACAACTTACCCGTAACTTCGAAACGCCTCATCCGCTTTCCTTGTCCACTTCATCCCTCCTTCTTCCAAACGTGGGGCCGACAACCGCTGGCCCCAGCGCTGTGGGGAGGGGGGAGGGATAGAGAGTGGGAGGAGGACGAGGCGGAGGACGAGGGCCTGGACAGCGGGGGCCCCGATTTTCCGCACGACGACTGAGACGTGATGGGCTGGACGAGCGAGGAGCCGCACCACCACGAGGAAGCTATCTCCGCGGAGGACGGTACAGCCGATGCCCTCCCAGACGCCGCACCCCGCGGCGGCATTTCACTGCAAGTGCCCCCCCCCTAGGAAGGCAGCTCCACGACAGGCGCTCTGGATAAGTTCCAGGATGCGTCCGACGACAGAGGACGAGGGGCCCGACGACGACTCATCTTCTACTTTGTGCGCACGAGGAATTCCACCGCCGACGACGAGGATACTAGAGTAGAGCTCTGCCGATCGTAATGCGGCGTCGACTCTATAGGGCACGGGCCCAGCCACAATGCAGGGATTCTCGAACGCGCTCCACTAGATACCCCGCCTGCTACAGGTAACAGTGGAAGGGGCCTTTCAGAGAATCGCACCGAACAGCCTGGTGTCGGGATCGACCCGCCGGAGAGACCACCGGGACTGCGACGAGTGTCCACCTCGTCTAACACCAGCACCAAGCAAGAATCAACGCTCGACGCCCAATCCCATCCCCACCACGACCTCGTCCCCTACGCACTAGCCGACGCAAAGCTTGGCGCCCTGCCCGACACCCCGCAGCCAGTCGCCCGCCGCCCAACCGACCAGAGAGTGAGGTTCCGGCGCTTAGATGTCACCACAGGCGCATCAAACACTCGTGCAACAAAAGGACGCCAGAATAACCACAACATCCATGTTCAGCATGACCAGCGGCCTGATGACCCAGCGGCGCCGCCCGGAAAGTACCGCGAACATCAGGATCCATCACGGTGAAGTTCAGCAGGAACACAGGCAGGATGAACAATCGGTGCTCGTTGGGGACGGCTCTGAGAATGAGCCCAACTATGCCCTCACGAAGCCCGAGCTGCGCATCATTGCCTGCGACCTGTACCCCAGCGGCTCCAGCGAACTCACCTTCGAGTCCCTCCACGGGGCGCCCTGTCACATCCCCCGTATGCTGCAGCCCAAATGCGCGAAGGGGCCTCCATGCGCACCATCTTCCATGACCTCGCTGATGGCACCACCACCATCACACGCGACCTCGTCGGCGGCAGCACCAACCAGGGCCAGAGCTCCAACGCAGCATCCGCGAGCACAGGCCTGAGAGGCCTGGCAGCGCCCCAGCCACCACTCGGCGCGGCGCCCACGGGTGGCGCCGCCGCCGCCGCCGCACCAGGGGTAGGGGAGGTTGACTGCAGATACAAGTGGTGGGGGGTGGAGGAGGAGGAGGAGGAGGAGCAGCAGGAGGAGGAGGAGGAGGAGGAGGAGGAGGAGGAGCAGGAGGGAGAATGATGAGAATGAGGAGGAGGAGGAGGGAGGGAGGAGGAGGGGAGGAGGAGGAGGGGCGGAGGAGGAGGAGGAGGAGGAGGAGGGAGGAGGAGGCGGAGGAGGAGGAGGAGGAGGAGGAGGAGGAGGAGGAGGAGGAGGAGGAGGATAGAGAGGAGGAAGGAGGAGGAGGAGGAGGAGGGAGGAGGAGGAGGAGGTGGAGGAGGGGGAGGAGGAGGAGGAGGGCGAGGGGGGAGGAGGAGGAGGAGGAGGAAGGAGGGGAGGAGGAGGAGGAGGAGGAGGAGGAGGGAGGAGGAGGAGGAGGAGCAGGAGGAAGGAGGAGGAGGAGGAGGCGGAGGAGGAGGGAGGAGGAGGAGCAGGAGGAGGAGAAGGAGGAAGAGAGGGAGGAGGAACTGAGGACGGTTGCGGGGGGAGGAGGAGGAGGAGGAGGAGGAGGAGGAGCTGAGGACGGTTGCGGGGAGGAGGTCGCGCCAGCAGCGCTGCTCGCCCTGCTGGCCCTCCTCCGCGCGGGGCCGCCCCTTCTGCGGACGCCGCCCCCCCCCGGCGTGCACCTGGGCAACCCCCCCCCGTGGCACGTTGCTCTCCCCGCGCTCCTCAGCCCCCTCGCCCTCCTCGTGCTGTGCCCATCCCGCTCCAGTCTCCCCCCCTCCTCCCTCTCGGCGGCCGTTGGGCCAGTGGCGGCAGCTCTTGAAGCAGCGGGCGCCACCCAGCGCCAGCGTCACGACGGGGGAGAGGTGGACCGCGCAACGACAGAGCGGAGAGGGCGGGAGCGAAGGCAAGCCAGCGTCCATCCCGCCCTCCTGGGGGCGGGGCTGCGCCCCTGCAGGGCGGGACGGGCGGGGGCACATGCAACACAAAAGAGCGGGCCGCCGTGGCGTCCTCGTGGTTCCCGCGCAGTATGTGCACGCCTTGGACGGGGGGCCCCCTCCTCGTCCTGCTCCTGCTCCTGCTCCCCTCCTCCTCCTCCTCCTCCTCTCCTGCTCCCCCCCTCCCTCCTCCCCTCCTCTCTCCTCCTCCTCCTCCCTCCTCCTCCTCCTCCTCCTTCTCCTCCTCTCCTATCCTCCGCTCCTTCTACCTCTCCTCCTACTCAGCCTCCCTCCTCCTACTCCTCTCTCCTCCTCTCCTCCTCCTCCTCCTCACTCCATCCTCCCCCTCCTCCTCCTCTCCTCCTCCTACCTCCTCCTCCTCCTCCTCCTCCTCCTCCTCCTCCAGGCTGCCATTTGGGCTCCCACGCGCGCGGGGGCGCGCGGGGGGGCGTCCATCTGGCCCCAGACGCCGGCGGCCCGCGGCGATTGCGGGCGCTGGTGCACCTCGGCGACGGCTGGCCGCTCGCCTCGACGGCGCTCGCCGTCGCCAGCCTGGCACAGGCGGCAGCGGCGGCGCCGCGCGGAGGCTCGCCAGGTCCTTCGCGTCGCGGAGGCCCGCAGGACGCTGGCAGGCCACCACGGCGAGGCCATGGCGCAGGGCGAGGCGGCCCATGGAGCCCCTTGGCGCACAGCTCAGGGGCGTGGCGGCGGCGGCCCTGTGTGGGCATGCGCGGCCACGCGGGCGTGCGGGTTCGCCAGCAACTTCGCGACCCGCGAGACATGCTGGGCCTGCGGCCGCGACCGCCAGGGCCGGCCTACGGGAGCCAAGGGGGCCCGCCAGCCCACCAGGCCGCGCTCGGCGACCAGGCCTCGCTCGCTGGGCGCTGGCGGCGATCGCCATCTTCGCGGCGCTCCTCCTGGGGCCGACGGCGGGGGCACCGCGGAGTCCAACGCGGTGGCCAAGTGCCGTAAGGCCCTCAAGGCGCTGCGCAGCATCTATGACGAAGAGCATTATCCCTCGTCGTGGCTGCCAAGGCCGAGCTCAGCCAGGCCGAAGCACAAGAGCGGGCTCACATGGCGCCTGCCGACGTGCTCCGCCCGGCGCTGGACAGGCAGGCAGCGCGTGAAGAGGAGCGTGCAAAGCTCCAGACGGAGGTCGACGCGCTGGCAGCCCAGCTCAAATCGGCCACCGACAATCTGGACCGCGTCCAGCAGCAGCTCGTGGAGTCCAACGAGGAGGTGGCGCAGGCCCAGCTGGCCAATGCGGCACATACCGCACCACTGGGTGGCGATGCGGCATCTTCGGTGGCGGCGCTTCAGCAACTTCTCCAGACAGCCCGCAACTCCATCCAGCAGGGCCAGGATCGCAACATCGTGGACGGTGCCATCCTGGAGCAGCTGGTGGGACACGTGCGCACGCTGGGGGACGCAATGCCGAGGCCTTCTCCGCCAGGCCAGACGGCGATGGAGGTTGAGGCCTTTTCGCACCGCGGGCGGGCAGCCCGCTGGCGTCGGCGCCCACACAGCAGCAGCCGCAGCAGCCGCAGCGCCTGCAGCACCAGGCGCAGCACCTGCACAAGCAGCACCACCAGTCGCAGCAGCACCGACGCCAGCAGGAGCAGCAGCGGCAGCGTGGGAGTTTGCGGGCACCACGTAGACGAGCCACGCGCCGCAGGGCGCGCACCAGCATGGGGGTTGTCACATTCAATGGGTCTTGCTGGGGATCGTGCCAGCAGTTTTTGCAGAATGGAGCGACAGATGCGTTGGTGGTAACGGCTCAGGAACTTCGACTTGATGGCGAAGCTTTGGATCAGGCGCGAACATGGGCGACGAGAAATGGATGGCAGCCATTCATCAGTCCGTGCAGGCGCCTGGCTTCCAAGCTGCCGAGCGCGGGCGTGGGGATCTTTGTCAGGGCGCATGTATCCACTACTCTTCTTAGTGGTGCTGGGGGCGTTACTGATGGGTTCGAGATCTTACGTTCGTGGGCGGTGGCAGTACACGTACATGCTGGGATCAAGGGAGGCTTCGTCGTCGGGCCGGCGTACATGGAGTCGGTCCCAGACCCCGGCTTTCTCACCACTAACTACCAGAAGCTCATGCGCATCGCGGAGAGCATGCGTTACTTCTCCGCCCCTTTCATCTTCGCAGGCGACTGGAACACGGAGCCTGCCAACATGGAGGTGCTGGGCTTCTTGCAGATCATGCCTGCCATTGCGGTGGCCACTCAAACGTCGGGCACTTGTCGTTCGGCAAAGACGGGCACCTACAGCACCATCGACTACTGGCTGGCCTCACCTGACTTTGCGAAGGCTTGTGGCGTCCCCTACGTGCTCGACTCTTGGGTCCCGAGGCCCCACTATCCTGTGCGCATGGATCTCGACGCGAAGCCCAGGGCGCACATGCAGATGCACCTGAAGGCGCCCAAGCCTTTCCCCAAGCAGGCGCCGCGGTACTCAGGGGCCAGTCCCTTGTATGGACCGCCCAAATTGCAGCCCTACCTGGACGTGGCCAGGCAAGATGCTGATCTGGGACGACCTGAAGATGGTGATCAGGCTCAGCGGCGACTCGACGGCCTCCACGCCAACTTCATCTCGTTCGTGGAGCAGGACCTCTGCCACATCTACCAGGTGGACGTGCAGGATCGCGAGAAGTACTGTGGAAGAGAGAAAGCTCCTGCATATGTCTGGCGTCCAGCGGGAGGGCCCATCCTCAAAGGGGCTCCAGCAGCTGGCTCCGAAGCCCGCTGCATGCGCAACGTGACCTTCGCGCTGCAAGACCTGGCCGCTCAACTTGAAAGGGCAGAGCCAACAGGTCATCCTTCGCCAGCTACAACTTCGGCTTCGACTTATTCAGGCGTCGTCGGCAACGCGGGCTCCAGCTCTCATTTGAAGTTTGATGTTGGCATGGCTGCGCAGCGGACGACGCCACGTGATCGTGACAAGGATGCAGTTTCTCGTGGGACATCTACTTATTCAGGTGACGCCAGCGACTCGGGCTCCAGCTCTCATTTGAAGTTTGCAGTTGGCATGGCTGAGAAGCGGGCATCGCCACGGCATCGAGCAAGGACAGCAGCTTCTCTTGGGAATTCTACTCATTCAGGCGACGTCGGCGGATCGGGCTCCAGCGCTCATTTGAAGTTTGATGTTGGCGACAGGCCGATGCCCCCGATCTTCGAGTACTACGACGATCAAGACCAAGGCGATCGTGAGGGACCTACCCCACCGAGCGAGGTCCAGGTCTTATTGGGCCCAACTGGGCGCGCATCACGAGGGCTCTTCGGCCAGGTCATCGTCAGGACATCCACACGACGGAGGGCATGATGCTGTTCGAGTGGGATTGGCCTGTTCTACATTATGCGTGCAGACTGGAGGCCTCACAGTACATCCTGTTTGTCAAAGCTCTCGCCCTGACCGTCGAAGGCCATGCAGCCGAGCAGCAGGCAGCCAACAAGAGGGTCAAGAGCTTTCACAAGTGGGCCCAGGACGCGCTTATCACAGGCGCCCCCCCCAGTCTTCGGCATGACCAAGCTGAAGGGATGGGCGCACAATGAGGTAGACAGGTTCGGTATTCGCTCAGCTCTTCCTCAAGCAGTAGCAGACAGCCAGATGGACATGTGGAATGACATATGGCAAGGTACCCAGGTCTCCAAAGCTGCGGATAAGGACATCATCTACAAGGACGTGGGCAGCATCACCTGTGACGCCAGCCTTGGCGACAACGAGTTCGAGGTCGAGCACATTGCCGACAGCCAGGACGACCTGATGAAGCTCATCCGCACCCTACCATGCGAGGCCATGCATGTACCCACGATCGATGACGTACGGCGTGCTTCGAGATCCGTTGCGTGGAAGACGGGACTTGGTGCTGACGCAATGCCTCCACGAGCGTACTCCCTTTTGGTCGACGACGCCGTGGCCATGCTCGTGCACCTCCTATGGGCTGCGGAGGCCTGGGGGCGATGGCCCACCACCATCATGGCCATTCACGTGATGCTGTTGGCGAAGCCCCAGGGCGGCTTCAGGCCGGTAGCCTTGCTCCCGTCCATCTACAGGGTGTACACCAAGATCAGGATCGTCCACGTGCGCAGGTGGGCCGCCAACCACACGCGACCTTACTTCGCGCTGGGCTCAGGACGATCTACGATAGATGTGGGTGCGCGCACCATGGTCTACGCTGAGGCAGCCGACGCAAGAGACCAGGACGCCATCATCACAGCCCTGATCGACATCAGCAAGTGCTTCGACAGGCTCAAGTGGATCAAGATCATCGAGGCCGCCAAGCGCTTTGGGTTTCCGCTCAGCGTCCTGCGCAGTGTCCTGGCCATGTATGCCGCTCCGAGGCGCATTCGATGGAGGGCGACCTTCTCATATGCCGTCAGGGCCACACAAGGGGCTCTACCTGGCTGCTCGGTGGCAATGTTTTTGTTGCAGCTGGTCATGATCCTGCCCTTCGATATTTATCAGGCCTCGATCACACAGATACCGCACACCTTAAGCATTTATGCAGATGATCTCACGCTTCAGATCATGATGAAGGGAAATGAGATTGTCCAGGCAGCTCAGGCGGCTATCGGCAGGTTGGCGGTGGTCCTCCAAGCACTTGAGCTCCCCATTGCCAAAGACAAGGCTAATATCCTGGGGCCAGCGGAGGACATCGCAGCGCAAGTGGTTAGAGGAGTTTCTCAGTATGGCTTTCAGGTGGTCAACAAGCTGAGCGTCCTTGGCCCGGAATGTCGCGCAGGGGCTCGTCTGACCTACGTGGAGATCCACAAGCGCGTCAGGAAGATCAAGGAGCGGATCCCAAGGTTCAGGAATCTCAAGGGCATGGCGAAGCTGGCCACGCGGATCGCTCGGCCATGCTTGGCGCCTGGCATGACCTACGGCCTCCATGTGGTGGGGGCCCCGCCAGCCACGGTAGCCACGATGACGAACGTGGTCCGCACAGGCTGGAGCAAGACACGCACGGCTTCATCCACATGGCTTGCCTCACTCTTGGAAGAAGGCCCCAACCAGATGCCTGATGCGATGGCGACCGTGGAGCCCATCTTCACTTGGGCGCAGTTTGTGTTCGACCAGAAGATCCCCATGGACACGATCGAG